GTGTCTGGGGATATTTTCTTTTGTCGCAGCTGAGGGGGGGGGTGGTGGCGGCTGCTCCTAGCACCTAGTAAGTAGAGGCCAGGGAAACTGCCTGCAGTGTACAGGTTAGCCCCCCACAGTAAGGAATTACCTAGCTCAGAGTGCTGAGGTTTAGAGACTGGGCTAAGGAGCTAAGCTGTGCACATTAAAAACTGCAGAAGAGGGACCAGCAGTTAGCGTAATGGCTATGCTGCTGAATTCCCATGTAGTCGACCGCGGTTTGAGTCCAGACCCAGTGGCTTGAACTCACGCCGAGCGCATGTGCATGCATGCCCAAGATCCTGAGAGGAGAATGGAGGAGAAGGGATTGCAGTGTGGCCATCCCCCCTGCGGGGGTGATTTCTTGCTTTCTGTCTCTCTGTCTCTTTCTTTCTGGTTAGCGCACACACCCTATAGCAAAAACTTCTCCAAAAATGCAGAAGAACAGAGTATGTGTAATGAAAGATTAGAAAGTTGTTTTCCCAGATGCTCTTCTATTGATTAGTGCCTGTCTTTTGTAAAGTTTCAGTCAGTCTTTTGGCAAAATGACAAAAGTAAGGGTATTGTTTTTCCTACAGTCAGACTTACTCAATTTTGAACAATTATCCGTAATTCTGAGAATCTTTCCCATTTTGTTGGAGTTAATCTTTTTTTAAGATTTGCAAAAAAAAAAAAAAAAAAAAAAAAACTTTTTTTGTAGAGTATATTCACTTTCCAGAGAGAGAGTGAGGGGAAGTGAGAAGTCACTCCCAAGAGGATAGCCATACTGCAATCTCTTCTCTATTCTCCTCTCAGGATTTTGGACACCCATGCACACACTCATGGCATGTTTTCAGGCCTCTGGGTCTGAGATTAGAACTGCTGAGTTGTCCATGTGGGATCCAGTACCTTACATCATGCCACCTGCTGGTGTGTGTTTGTGTGTGTGTGATTTGTTTATATAAGGTTTTTGCTATTGAGTGTGTGGATGCTTGCCAGAGAGAGAGACAGAGACACAGGGAGGGAAAGTGAGGAATTATCCCCCAGGGTAACGGCTACCCTGCATTCCCTTTTCCTCCATTCTCCTCTTGGAATTTGAAGCGTGCACGGACATCCAACCAGCATGTTTTTCAAGCCACCAGGTCCAGGACTCAAACCACAATTAGCCATGTGAAGCCTGGTGCCTTAATCACTACGCCACTTGCTGGCCCCAGTTAAAAATATTATAATGAAATTATGGTGCTAGTAGTGGTATGTTGCTAAAATTGGTGTCTTTACTTGGCAGAATTAAAGGTTAATGATTTGGTGTGGCAGTTAAGGGTGCTGGACTTGCGGTTCAAATACTGGACCAAGTGGCTTGCTTTCTCACTTTCCCTCTCTCTGTGTCCCTCTCTGGTCAAATTAAAATAAATAAATAAACTTAAATAAAATAATTTTAAAAATAAAGTTAATGGATTGCAGCTAGTAGGTGGCATGGTGGCTAAGGCACTGGGCTCCTACATAGATGACCATGTTCCCGGTCCCAGGCACATATGCATGTACGCCTGTCATGGGAGAATGGAGGAGAGGGGATTATGGCATGGCCGTCTCCTCTGAAGAGGTGATTTCTCACTTTCTCTCGCTCTCTTTCTCTCTCTCTCTTGAGCAAGCACGTGTGCCCTTAGCAGAAACCTCAAAACAAAAGTTAATGATTCTATGACTATGCTCAAATTTTATTTATATTTTTGATATTTTGCTAAGCTTTTAAGTTCTGAAGTAATGGGCACTCCTAAGCTAGACATTGTAACAAGACATTTCTGGTAAGCCCTGGGATAAACAGTACTGTTCTTTCTGGATATCATACATCAGCAAGGATGATGCGGTAATGATTCCAATATAGCAGCCAGCCTGCTCACCCTGTTTTGCTTTGTTTTTAAGATGTTTGTTTGTTTGTTTGTTTAGAAGAACCACTTTTCGGGGGCCAGCAGGTAGCGTGGTAGTTAAAAGCACTGGACTCCCACATGACCAACCATGGTTCGAGTCCTGGACCTGGCAGCTTTCTCTCTTTCTTTCTCTCTCTCCCATTCACTCGCTCACTTTCTCTTTCCTTCTCTGGTCACAGTAAAAGAAAGAAATAGGGACCAGCAGGTGGCTTGGTGGTTAAAGCGCTGGACACCCCCACATAACTGACCACAGGTCAAGTCTTGGACCTTGTGGCTTACTTTCTCACTTTCTCTCTCTCTGTCTCTCTCTGGTCAAATTAAAATAAATCAAATTTAAAAATAAATAAAGTTGAATAAAACAATTCATTTTATTAAAATAATTTTAAAATTATTATTTTTATTTGATGGGGGGGTGGCAGTGAGAAAGCAAGTCACCAGGTTTGGGACTCTAACCGTGGTCTGCCATGTGGGAGTCCTGTACCTTAACCACCACACCAACTGCCAGCCCCATATCTTGTTTGTTTGTTTGTTTGTTTTAAAGATCCTATTTTAAGGGCCGACAGGTGGCATGGTGGTTAAAAGTGCTGGATTCCCACAAAGATTCTCACATGGCCAACCGTGGTTTGAGTCCTAGGCCTGGAGGCTTGCTTTCTCACTCTCTGCCACCCCATCAAAAATAATAATGATAATAATAAATGGAATTAAATAAATAATTCTTTTTTAAAAAGATAACTGTTTTAATGATTTCTTGATCTTAATTTACATAAAGCTCTGTTGGAACTATTTTAATGTCCTTATAAATAATGGTTTCTATTCTTAGGTCCTCAAAGACTTCCCTTACCAACTGGTTACAAAAGGCAGAGAGAATATGAAGATGATGATGATGAATATGACTCTGAAATGGAAGACTTTATTGAAGATGAAGGAGAACCTCAGGAAGAAATTTCCAAGCACATTCGAGAAATCTTTGGCTATGACCGAAAAAAGTAAGGCTGGAGAAGATTTAGATAATGATTATGCTTTTTTATTTTGAACAGTTCATCTTATGGTAAGGGATAAACATTAGCATAGTAGTAGAGGCACTGAATACAGCTCTTAATTAGGAAACCGTATGTGATTGTTCTTTTAAATAGACTTACTTTGGGGGCACTATATAGTTTAAGAATTAGTTCAGAATAGTTCGTATAGTTATTAGCATGAGGGCCAAAAAATACCATCACCCACCCCCCTCTTTTAAAAAATTTACTAGAAGGGCCCAGCAGATGGCGCAGTGATCATATCGTTAGACTCCTACGTGGCTGATGGGGGTTCAAATCAGGACCCAGTGGCTTGAAAATCACACTGGGAACGTGTGTGTGCGTGCCTGAGATCCTGGGAGAAGAAGGTGTTGAGGCATGGCCATCTCCCCTAAGGAGCGATTTCTCACTTTCCCTCTTACTGTCTCTCTCCCTCTCTCTCCAGTGAGCTCTGTGCCCTAAGGCTAAAACCTAAAAAAAAAAAAAGACCAGAGGGTGTGTGTATTTACTGGAAAGAGAGAGAAGGAAAGTGTGAAAACATCCCTTTCCAGACATGGCATGGTCACACGATAGTCCCTTCTTCATTTCTTCCTCCTTTTGGGACTTTGGACATGCATGCACATGTACCTGGCATGTTTTTCAAGCCACCGGGTCTGAGACTTGAAATGCCTTAACCACCAAGTCACGGGTTGACCTCCCAAAACTATTTTCCTTCTAAGACATGTGTGTATGGGAGGATCTTCAAAAAATTACATGGGAAATGTATATTATGAGAAAAGTTATTCTTGTATTTCTAAATATTTTACACCAAAATAAATTTGTACTTAAATTTCATTTTTCTGCAAACATTTTGAAGTTCCTTCATAATATATGAACTCACTGTAGTAGAAATAGATCGGCTTTTAAGTCAGAAAGCTATCCACAGCTATAGCGAAAGCCAGTCTGATAGGACCAGCTTTTCTTTGCTGTAAAAAGCTTTGCTACTCAAGATTAGGGACCTTTCACTGGACATGACTGACCGCAGTTCAAGTCCCAGACCTGGTGGCTTGTTTCTCTCATTCTTTCTCTCTCTCTCTGTCCCTCTTTGGTCAAATTTAAATAAATGAATGAATAAGTAAATAAAGTAAAATAAAATAATTCTTAAAAAAAAATAACCCTTGGATAAGGAACCAGGAACATTGATACACCTGAGTTTGCTACAAATGCAGGTTCTCAGGCCCTATCTCAGACCTGCCAATTCCAAATCCACCCAATAAAGTACCTGGGTTATTCATATATATATGCATCTTAAAGTTTGAGCAGCATTTATGTAGAGGAAAGAACAGAGTTTAAGTGTAGTTCTACCACTTACTAGCTGGATAGACTTGAGTAAATCTTTTTTTTTTTTTTTTTTTGAGAGAGTGAGGATTTTGCTACAGGGCGCATGCACTCACCAGAAAGAGAGAGACAGACAGAAAGCGAGAAATCCTTTCTCCTCCATTCTCCTCTCGGGATCTTGGGCAGAAACGCACACACACCTGGCATGAGTTTAAGCCACTGGGTCCAGGCTCAAACTGTGGTCAGCTACATGGGAGTCCAGTGACATAGCTATTAGGCTAACTGCTGGTTCCGAGTAAATCATTTTAAAAAGTGATTAATATATAATAATGATAATAATAATTATTATTATTACTACTACTACTACTATTTAATTTGATCAGAGAGAGAAGGAAAGTGAGAAAGCAAACTGCCAGATTGAAGGTAGATTGAGAGAGAGAAAGTGAGAAATCATTCTCCGTTGGGGATGATCATGCCACAATCCCTTCTCTTCCTTCTCCTTTCTGGATTTTGGGCATGTAGGTACACACACCAGGCATGTTTTTCAGGTTGCCAAGGAAACGTGGAGTTGTCCACGTGTGATCCAGGTCCTTTGTCACGCCACCTGCTGGCCCAGTAAATGTTGATTTTTTTATTTTTTAAGAATTATTTTATTGCACTTTCTTTCTTTCTTTCTTTCTTTATTTTAATTTGACCAGAGAGGGACAGAGTGAGAGAGACAGGGAAAATGAGAAAGCAAGCCACCAGGTCGGGGACTTGAACCACAGTCGGCCATGTGGGAGTCCAGTGCTCTTAGCCACTACACTACCTGCCGGCCCCAATGTTGATTTTTTAAAAAGAGAATAGTGTTCCTTTAGAAATTCAGATATTTGATCACTTCAATTTCTTCTTACCAGATACAAAGATGAAAGTGATTATGCCTTACGTTACATGGAGAGTAGTTGGAAAGAACAGCAGAAGGAGGAAGCAAAGAGGTAAGTATAGCACTTACATGCTTGTGCAGACATCTGAAAATTCTTTTCTAATCAATGCTGTGGTTGCACCATTGGGAACAGGGTCTTGGTGCCACACAGATCTGGTTTTCAGTCTTCTTACCAGCTATGGGGTCTTAGACAAATTCTTAGCCTTCTGAAATCTGTCTTCTCATGTGTAAAGGAGTCAGACCCTTTTACTCATACACGTGTTGGGAAGACTAAGAGAATGTGTGCCATGTGCCCAGTGTGCTGCCTCCCCTTGCAGGCGCACAGCACACATGATAGGTCTCCTCTAGTCCTGTCGCAGCAGGTTCTTTTTTTTTCTTTTTTTGGGGGGGAGAGGTTTTTGCTATAGGGTACGTGAGCTCACCAGACAGATAGAAACAGAGAGACAGAAAGCGAGAAATCACCCCCCAGTGGAGATGGCCACGCCACAGTCCCTTCTCCATTCTCCTCTCGGGATCTTGGGCACGCACGCACACGCGCCTGGCATGAGTTTAAGCCACCGGGTCCGGGACTTGAACCGCGGTCGACTACGTGGGAGTCCAGCAACTTAG